CATGTTCTTGTGGACTTTTATAAAACACATTGGATGTAAAATTAATTTGCATTGTAGTTGTCAGCCTTAGAGCCAGCCAAGCTGGCCAAAAGAATGCCTAAGTCTCCCCTTTTCATCCATGTTCCAACTGTAACTTATTCAGCTTAAGATTTTATTACATTCTGACTTCAGAAATGAATTCCTCATTTAATTTCAACCATGGTCACCACTGACCAGTTTTACACTACTCTTCTCCTTCATTGACTTTGTAATAATTCACAGTCCTCAAAGAATTATTCCAGCCTTTAGGTTTCAGCTCCCTCTACCACATGTACATGCCAGATTACATAATCCAACTTTGAAAATCCTCTCTGAGCTTGTTGATTCCGCTTCCAGAGGATTTTCAGACTCCAGACCAACTCAGAACCACAACAACCAGAACAAGATCAAGCCAACACTTATCCAACAGAAGTACCCTACTTTTCCCACCTTTCCCACTACCACGTGTCATTGGTGTCATTAGTAAGTCACTCCTCATAAGTCTTAGCTAGCATCTTCCTGCTTGTTTCTTTCTCTGTCTCTCTCACCTTTCTTTCTCCCTCTTCTCAACCAAAAATGAATCAAAGCCCTGAACTACTAAAGCACACCTAGCTTCTATTATCTCAACTCTTCCTGTTTGGTAGTACAACTGAAAACTACATAGGTTTCCCTTTAAAGAGCCTTGATCTTTGATCTAAAAAATTGTGGTTGACCTGATTCATCAGTGTCAATAACCCATTTCAGTTTCTGTTGATTTGGAGGCGTCAGAGTTAGCTCCGCTAATAACAGCCATCCTACAAGGAAAGTAAGACTGTCAGCAGCCATCCAAAAAGGGACAGTAAGACTGCCAGAACTTTAATCATCATCTTAAAATAAATAAAGAACAAAAATATCATTTATTTCTTTCACTCTTCTTCTCCCTTTCCTCTTACTTTTATTTGTATCCCTCTTATCCTAAGAAATACATATAAAAGTGCCCCCCAAACCTTGTGTCCTGCAGTCACTATAGAGACCCAGACTCACAGTAGTGCTACTGCTAAAATCCACAGACAATAATTGATAGTAAAGACCAAGGTGAGTATGTGTGCAAACAACATTCAAGTGCGTGCAAAAATCACGGCCACAGAAAAGTGGCTGTACAGACCACAGACAAGTGGTTGAACAAACCACGCAAAAATATCTTGAAAATCATGTGATTAATGACTCACTGTATTCTTCTTGAATATTTAATGGACAAAAATAGAATATATTGGACATGTTGCCTGGGACTCTGTCCCAGAAAGCAGTGTTTCTCTATTCATACATGGGACGTCAGATTTTTGATGATCTCGCCATTCGATTTTTTTATTTTGATCTTTGGTTCATTCTAATTGATGAGTCTCAAACTCAAGATTGGGTTGTTTCTGCTGAGTGCCAAGTTAGTTTGAATAATTACCATACAATATATCCTTCAGCTCTGTTTTCTTTGCAGTCATTTAGTAAAAAGACTAAACACAACCAACTTAGAAAATATCTGATCAATAAGATCATTCAAATAATTTGCATATGATATTTACTTCAGGACTGTTTTCTTTGCAGTGCTTTATACAGGATCTTTTCCATTTCCCTCTATCATTTATTGAGAATATGATTTGTACGGTAACCTTCTATCATGATAAGCAAAAGCAAAAACAACACAATGTGCTCAAGTGTTCATCTGAAGCGGCCCTGCAAGTATCCCTCCTGAATTAATTGTCTTTCCTTGTTGACTCTTTCTCTGATTGTCTTTCCTTTGTATCCTTCTTCAATATTTATCAATTTAATGCTATGTGGTGAGTACTTTACAAAAGCACTGTGCAATTGTGTTTAAAAAGCCCATTGACCTGGAGGTGAAAGGATCTGACAGGGAGGTCCAAAGTATATATTAGCTGAGTTGTATGGACTTCCCAAAGGGCACTATTGCATTTCAGGAAAAAATAAGTAAAATAATCAGTAGGTTGTATCATGCCTTCTTCCACCTGGGGTGTTTTCCTTAATATTTCTAATTCTTTATTTTTGATATTTGATCTCCTTAATCAGTTTTCTCGGCTTTCTTTCTCATCAAAGTGTATGAATCTATGCATGTGTCGATCCCTTGTCTGTTGATTCCAAAATCCAATGAATTTTTTTCAGTTTTCTTTTCTAGATAATTATCACTTGCACAAACCACAAAAAAGTACAACCAGTACTTGTGAAACCAAATACAGCAGAGACCTTAATACCCTGGTTAGAAAGCTGCTTCACATGTAAAGCTACCATTTCATTATTTAATCATGATTTTGTTTAACTTGTAACCTATGAATCCCAAACAGAAGATTGGTTTGTTCACTAGGTACCAAGATAGTTCAAAGCCAGAGGCCCATCATTGAGCTGTCTCATGCCTTTTTTTACTGGGTTCCATTAATCAATTGTCTCTTATCCTTCATTAGCATTTGTGGTTATTATTGTCACGCGATTCACTTCCTTTTTGATCAAAATGTATGAATTCATCCGTGTCAATTCTTCATCTGTTACTTCAAAAAACCGTTGAACATTAACTACTTTTTCTTTCTAGATAGTTATTACTTGAACAAATCACAAAGATGTACTTTTCAAACAATACTTGTAAAACCAAAGAACACAGAGTTTGGGTTAGGGTTGTGGAGTCTTGATTATGTGTTGAGCTACACCTTTATATCTGTTATTCTTTATATATGTGTTAATGAGATTGGGAATCAACATTGCCTGTCCTTTTCTGGGGATGTTGGGATTGCACATTAAGAAACAAGGCACAGAATAAAATTTCTGTTCCACAATATCATCACTATGAACACAAGAGCATCCTGCAGGCCTATTGAAACAGTTCAGCCATTGAATGAATTGTGGGGCCTCAAGCTGAGGATGATGCATGAGAGGCCTAGTACTGCAACTCTGGGGGCATGTCTATTTTCCTTTCTCTTTCCCGGGTTGATTTGATTATTTCAATTCTGTGCCCACTGAAAAGATATGGTGGGTTTTCTTTCCTATTGATCATCAAGATGTCTTGATTTATTGCCTGTTCATTGAATTTTATTGTTTTTTGCCCATCAGTTTCTCATCTGTTGCTTCAAATATACATTAATGAGTAACATCCACTACATCAATATTTTCCTCTGCCATTTATAGACAATTAACCGTTAACCCAAAGGTGATCACTTGGACAACACACTATTAGTTGTACCAACCACAGTCACGTACTAGTGAAACCACAGAAAACAGAAATATCTTCTTGCATTCATCTAAATTTGAATAAATATGCACTTTACTAAATGAGCATATGATCTTTGCCATTGTAATCTGTTGGGCTCTGTTGAGCTGGAACCCTTGCTCCATTTACACTTGTACTGTCTAATTTCAGTGTCGGCCATCCAGCGTGTTTCACTCAGCTCTTCCACTGAGTGGTTTTTGTATGACTTGGAGTTAATTGGATGGTCCATACAATTTGTGAACAATATTTATTTCAGGAAGGTTTTTTGCAGTGATTTACTCATGATCCTTCCAATTCCCCTTGTAAAAACAGAAGAAGCAGAATTTCACCACAGGCGAAATATGATCAAAGAGAAATACAATCAAATGTACAATTTGATGATCTTCCAGATTTATAGGATTTCTTGTTTGACCCTAACTAAGAACTCTCATTTTACGCGCTCCAACCCCTCATCCACTGCTTCAGAATTGTTACCTTCTTGTTTTTGTCTTTAATTCATTTCATCACACTATTTGACCATGATCAAATATGCAAAGTTATATTACAACCACACAGTAGAACAGTAATGATATTTGAATTGCAAACCACCCATGTCAAGTTCAGATGAAGACCCATTCAGGCTGAGCTGGGGCAAGCGAAACCAGGCCCGGCCCGACCCGGCCCGGCCCACGGCCCGCATCGACCTCAAGCCGAAACTCTTCAACTCGAGGTCTGGAGGTCCCCTGCGGCTTGGGATGAAGAGGATTGACCTCGAGCTGAAGGCGATTCAGCTCGAGGTCTGTGGCGGGTGTCAACCTCGAGCTGCAAACCATTCAGCTCGAGGTTGCCTATGATTCTGTGTGAAGTCGGACCGACCTCGAGCTGAGTCGTTTTCAGCTCGAGGTCGGTCGTAGCAGGGTGAGGGAAAGGAATGGCACCTCAAGCTGAAGGAGACTCAGCTCGGGGTCGGTCCCTCGGTAATCTGATTCTGAGGGACAGACCTCGAGCTGAATCGTTTTCAGCTCGAGGTCATTCTGCTGGTAGTCTGGGGGGTGGAGGCAAATGAGACTGACCTCGAGCTGAAGAAGACTCAGCTCGAGGTCCCTTGAGAATATAGTTCTGAGGGACTGACCTCGAGCTGAATCGTTTTCAGCCCGAGGTCGTGGGTGAGGCAAATGAGATTGACCTCGAGCTGAAGAGGACTCATCTCGAGGTCGCTTGAGAATATAATGATCTCGACGCATGATGGATGGACCTCGAGCTGAATTGTCTTCATCTCGAGGTCAGGGCGGGATAAGACACACAAGTTCGACCTCGAGCTGAAAGAGATTCAGCTCGAGGTCCGTTGCTCCTGTTATGGATGAGGAATAGACTAGACCACCTCGAGCTGAATCTCTTTCAGCTCGAGGTCTGTATTGGGGGGGGGGTGTCGGCCTCGAGGTGAAAGAGAATCAACTCGAGGACCCCTGTAACTCTAGGGATGGACCTCCAGCTGAATATCTTTCAGCTTGAGGTCCGTGCCGGGTCCCTGATGGATCAACATAAGGATGCTGAATATGGGTTGACCTCGAGACAAACGATGTTGGGCTCGAGGTCTCGGGTTTGAAGTCTTGTGACATTCGAGGCGTGACAGCTTCAGACCGAGCTGTGAGGGTCCGGCCGATCTGTGCTCATCATGAACTCAGCTCTCAAAGGCCTATCTGTGCACATCCTCATCTAAGCTCGACCTCCGACCTCAAACGTGCTGGAATTCAAACTCTCCCTCCCTTTGGATTTCATCAGTTGGCCCAGGAATCCGTACAAAGACAGTCAGACGCACCAAATAGGATATCATCTGGTTCGTCTGTCTGACTACTGATCTGATTCGTTTCATACAACCATTCATTGACTAGGTGCTGACTCGACTACTCTTCACCTTTGGTAGGGCCTGACGGTTTCTACACGGATCCTACGACTACGGCCGGGCTTTCGTCTCGTGTTGGACCTCGGTGACGCACTTAAGGAAGCTCCTGGTTCTGGAAATTCTCTGCGAGCGCCTCGGGACCTCATACGGTATGTGTCCCTTTGTGTTCCCTCTGTTTAAAACTCAATGATCGCTTCGTTTATGAACACGTACAAAACTAGTCTAGTGGCGTGGTTTGGTAGTCTCGTGGTTAGTCTTGATTCTTGTGTAACTCACTTACATCTCCGACACCGACCTCGAGTTAAACGACTTTCACCTCGAGGTTAATCTGGCGCGACTGAACGGCGAGGCTCCTTTTGTGGCAATTAACCCTGCATGCCGTGCTGTACTGTCGCTTTCTCATTATCAGTTTGTTTTTTGTGTCGTTTAGTAGTTGAGCCTCAACAATCGATTGGACTACGCTGGAATCGACCTCGGTTTGAACTATTTTGATCTCGAGGTTGACCAGCAGAGTGGAGGGGACGTCGTCATCGAGCTGAAGTAGATTGGACTGAACGGGTCCGATTCTTGTCTGTCTTCACCTGACCACGAACGGGGGCGATCTGTAGGCGCAATACCGTTTAAGACTCGTTGATATAGAAGGACAACAAAACAGTTTGTTGTTGAGGTATGCTAGCGATTTCTTCATCCGCGTTCGGAAGCGATTCGAAGACAATGGATGGTTTTTGGTGTTTCATCTGGTTAACATTGACTGCTTGGTTTGCACTCGACCTCGCACGAAGGCGATCTAGTGGCGCGGTTGCTAGTTTTCTGGTGGGTGTTGTGTATGTTACCTAAATCTCTCATGTCGACCTTGTGTTCGACGGTTTCCGCCTCGAGGTCAATCTGGATATTGGAGGGTATGTCGACCTCGAGCCAAGCATATTGAACTCGAGGTCTGCAGGAGAAATGGGGTGTTGAGCTGGAGCAGGAGAAGATTTACCTTGAAGTCTGTTGATTGGACATGAGGTCGAGCTCAAGCTGACCTCACTATCTATCTATGCTTCTTTATGCAGCGGCAGTTTCTACCCGATAAGACGGTCTCATTATCGATAGGCGATTCATACTGGTCTTTTTTTGGTTGGGCGTGTTTCGTTTGACCTCATCGCTTTAACTTGGCAGAGGTAGTTTGGACTCAATACCCCTGAACTTGAGCTGTTTCACTGATTTCTTTTGGCTTTTTTTGCTGTTCGTCCCCAGTAGTTAGTAGACCGAACGGAACAAAAAAAACTGGTCTTTCTATTTACTTGACTTGTGGCACTGTATCGGTCTCGGCTCAGCTCTGTTCGTCGGTAATTCCATTATATTGACTCTTCCTCCTTTGCTCCTCTGGTTTTCGCTTACTCTTCTGCTACTATCCCATCAACTCGATATCTAGACCTTGATTTGACACGACTGCACACCTCAATTGCACATTGGTGGATAGGACATCTTAGTCAGCGTAAACGTTTGCGCGTTTGTTATTTTCGTTAGCGGTATGATCATACGAATCTCTGGACCGCGTTAAGAAATGACCTATCCTGGTTGTTCATGAGACAATACAATTTCTGATTGAATGTTTTGCTGCTGTTTTTAGTTGAGCCTTGACGATCAATTGACTTGCACTTGACCTCGTGCAAAACGACCTGGTGGCGCGGTTGACTAGGCTTCTGGTGAGTCTTGTCCATGTTGCGTGCATCCTTGATGTCGACCTCGAGCTGAATGGTTTTCGGCTCGAGGTCGATCTGCGTAGTCGAGGGGAAGTCAACCTCAAGCTGAATGGTATGTATGGGAAAGGAGGTATCGATCTCAAACTGAAGGAGATTCAGGTTTGGATCTGCAGACTGGACTTGCTTTCGGGTTCATGACAAGCTTGACTGATTGTCATTCTTTTGGGTCCTATTAGTTGGACTTCATTTCGGGTTCATATTACAATTGACCTCGTTCAAGGTCGGTCGGGTTGAGTGACTTCTTGCTTGACTGGTGAGTGAAGCTCTAACAGCTAAGCCCGCTGGTTCAGGTACATCGCGAACGCCGACCTCGAGCTGGACTGTGTTTGGCTCGAGGTCAACCTTCTTGGACTTGATGTGGATATGAATTCTGACCCACTCCTGTTCATGTATGTCTCTGCCTGACCTCAAACGCTGGCGATCTGTAGGGATAATATCGTGTATAACTCGTTGATGAAGGAAACCGATTAGTTGGCATTGACTCATTCTAGCAGTGATTTGACGGCAACGAACCGATCTGTAGGACAGGCTTCTGTTGTGTGGTCATTTTCTGGGTAAGTTTCATCTTAAGTTGTTTCATCTTTGTTTATTGGATTAAGTGTGCGACGGTTTTTGGGATGTTGTCTGTAAGCTGATTATTTTCAAGTTTTCTTCATCAATTCTATTGTTTGTTTTTTGGAAGTTTAACGTCGGAACGGACAACAATATTCCCTAGGTTAAC